TGGCCCCTATCACCACTACCTTCTACCATATCTTTGCCCAACAATTCCTCGCATAGAGAATTGGGTTTTTGAACTGACTCATTCACTGCCTTACCATCGACAGGGAAACCCAATAACATGTACATGTCCTCTAGTGTGACGGTACATTCACCTATTGGTAGATGAAATGTATGTGTCTCGGGTCTACACATTTCCAACATTGCAAGTATAAACTTGGAATCAATCGTGCAGTTTGAGATTTTTATAACATTTCCAAAACCCCAGATATTCGAGATAGGGCACGATCAACGGGTCGGGAGTAATGTAGTTGTGTGAGCGAATTCTAAATCTTTTAGTGTCCTAAATTCAAAATGTAAATAGTGTAAGAGCCCATAAGATCACTAATTGAATAATAATTTTATAAAAATTATATTAAAATAAAATAATATTTAAGAATTTATAGAAACTTACAAACTCCGCAATGTTGTCTCTTGTGCCTTTGTGAGAATCGCCCATTGTGAGAAGAGCCATATTTGAAATTTTATAAGATAATGAAAGGGTTTGTATCAGAGAGTGAGATGATTGGTGATGCAAAACAAGTGTCTCAGACGTCATATTTACAGACGAAATCGTATAGGAGTGAATTAATAAGGTGATTGGTGGTTGCATGCATGCACGTTACGTGCCATACTGGTGCCAGGTCAAATGGCGCCTACATACATTTTAGAGAGCATGTATCATTCAACTTGGCGTGGGACAAGCCTACATGTAGAGTAGGTGGTAGCATAGGTGGCAACATTGGGGTAGTCTTTTGCACATGCATGTAAGGTGATAGGACATGTAGGGATGTGCCATCCCAGATGGCGCATGAGTGCAAAACTGAAAGATGTCATCATCTCAATTGACAAATTAGTGGTGGAGCATTTTTGTCTTATTCAAGTTTAATGAAACCTATTTATCCTAAATTCATCTAATGTTATCAATACTCAAATATTCAAACATTCAAACACTCAAACCTTAAAACATTCAAACACAGTGTCCTCTACACCATAATACGTTATCAGTACACATTTCAACAGTGAGACATACATTTGTCCCACCTCTGGGTTTTTATTTAGAGACACTAAAAACATCAAATTTTGTTTAAACAGAAAAGCCAATTTCTTATATTTCAAAAAACAATTAGAGGTCAAACTTGGACGAGGTCCATTGACACACATCTTCTATAAAAATCTGATTTTTTTGTGAGAACCAAATAATATTTTATAAGGTAGAGGTTCAAGATGACGAGGACCTTCAAAATATATTTTCCAGTCATGAGTATTCTAGGTACGACTCGATTGAATTGTACATTATGTTGCAGGAGCCTCAACTGTCACAACCAACTCAGTCACAAGTTGTTGATCCTCTCGAAGACGAACAAGCAGAAGTAGATGTTCTTGACGAAGAAGAGGAAGATGAAGAGTTAGACTTTGACGACATGGTCAACGATGATTCTGAAGACAGTGAGCTACCTGAAATACCTCTGAATGAAATCTATACAACACCTTCGCATGTGACAAACTTAAACATGGGCGGAGATGAACCGTCATCAGATGTTTTATTCAACCCATATATGCAGTCGGGTGAAAATTTAAAAGAGAAATACAAATTTCGTGATAGAGAAGATTTTATGCGAGCTATAAAAAAGTTTCACATGCTAAACTTTGTCGAGTTTAAGGTAGATCGGGTAAATCCAGAAAGATACAAGCTCAGGTGTGTTCACCCAGATTATATGTTCAGGCTCACTGCATTATACAGGATGAGAGGTGATTGTTAGGTGATAGGTTATATATCCACCCACACGTGCGTCAATTCTACTCAATCACAAGATCATCATAAACTAAATTATGATCTAATATGTCAAGAAATCCTACCTCTCGTCAGCAATGATCCATTATTGAAGGTGAAAACCATAATCTCTCACATCACTACAGTATACAATTATACTTCGTCATACAGAAAGGTATGGTTAGCAAAGACCAAGGCGGTTGAAAAGGTAATCTCTCACATCACTACAGTATACAATTATACTTCGTCATACAGAAAGGTATGGTTAGCAAAGACCAAGGCGGTTGAAAAGGTATATGGAAACTAGGAGGAGACACACAAAGAACTACAGTGCTACCTGCATGCACTTTAGATGTATTCTCCTGGACCTGTTTATAATATGGAAACATTATCGGCGTATGCCCCATATGGTACTTGCGTCAACGGAAATGCAACATTCAGCCGACTATTCTGGGCTTTTCAACCTTGCATCACAGAGTTTGCATCTTGAAAACCTATTATTCAAATAGATGGGACGTAGTTGTACGGGAAATACAAAGGCACGCTACTAATGGTAGTTGCACAAGATGGCAACAACAACATCTTCCCATTTGCCTTTGCTCTAGTCAAGGGAGAGACTGGTGGTGCTTGGAGTTTCTTTCTCAAGAATCTCCAAACACACGTGGCTCCTCAACCTGATCTCTATTTGATCTCTGACAGACATGCATCTATTGAGAGTGCATACAATAATCCTATAAATAGTTGGCATGACCCTCCTTCTACGCATTTCTACTGCATTAGACATATCGTACAAAATTTCACGAGGGAGATCAAAGACAAGGCTCTTAGAAAAATAGTTATGAACGCGGGATATGCATTAACACAATTCGTTCAAACATTATCGCAACGAGATCAGATTGTCAAATTCGGATGCAGGTAGATGGATTGATAATATTCTAGTGGAGAAATGGACAAGGTCATACGACAATGGACAGCGATGGGGCCACATGCAATAAATCTTATCGAATCAATGAACGGTGTATTCAAAGGCATATGAAACCTCCCAGTAACCGCTTTGGTAAAATCAATATATTTTAGAATGGCTTCGTTGTTTTCAAAAAGAGGTGAAATATGAAATACGGTCTTACAATCAGAACAACTATGGAGTGAAAGTTGCATGAAATATATTAAGAAAGAAAGTAGCAAAGCCAACACCCATCATGTTATAAAAGTTAGACCGACATAGCCACAACGTCATTGTCAAAGAGACAATCGACCACAACGAGGGGCTACCAAGACAAGAGTATAGGGTTATATCACCATCTCGTTGGTGCGATTGTGGAAAGTTTCAAGCATTTCGTATGCCTTGCTCTCATATCATTGCGGCATGTGCGTATACTCATCAAGATGCATTATTACTTCTATCTCCCATTTACAAGTCTGAAACTTTGCTCAACGTATACAACAATGGCATCCCAATGGTAGAGAAACCTAATTATTGGCCTGCATACGATGGGGAAATAGTAAGAAACAACGATCAAATGCGTAGGAATAAAAAGGATCGTCCCAAACGCAAGTGTATCACAACTGAAATGGACTCCTTTGACAAGCTAGAAAGAAAGTGTGATTTATATCGTCAGGTCGAACACAATCGAAAAAATTATCTCACTCAAACTACAAGCTCGACAATATAAAAATTGTATGCAAACCATCTGCACTTTTTTAAGTTTCAAACGTAACTTTTTTTCATTAAGAGCATTTGTTACAACAAAACATACGCAAACAACAAATAAAAATACAATAAAACATCTAAGAAATTACAATCGTCAAAACAATTTCATTTGAGCCATGCATCATCACCATTACATCTCTGTCTATTTTGAATTCCTCCAACCAAGATTGAGTTTTTCCAGTTGCAAGTGAGGTGACTGTTCTTCTTCTATGAATCCTTCTAATTTGTTCTCCAACCTCGATGTCTCCCTCTAGCCATCGCATCAACTCTCTCTTTAGACGCTCCATGGAGTGAATGTGCCAAAATTTCATTTTCATCGGAGATTTGGTGATCGAGAAAATAATGTATCCATCTCTGGTGAAAGTCATGGAAAATGTCATTACGCAAATAACAGAAAAAATAAGAAGAGAATGTGAGAAAGTGTGAAGAATGATGGAGAAATGGGTGTTTTATTTATAGAAAACACAATTGCACATAGTAATCATCTCAGATGGCATCTCCTCTCCTTTTTATAGTCCATGCGCCATCTCATATGACTAAAACAAAGTGCATGCGCCAAGTAAAATGGCGCCTAAGACAAAAACCTTATTGCATGCGTCAAGTAAGATGACACATCTATTGTAGTGTTTCCTGAAACATAGTTATTTGTGTAATTTTCTCTAAAACATAGTTATCTATGTACTTTATTTTCAATTCTTGATTATTACTAAAAAAAAATTCTAAAATGCGTGTTTGAATTGTAATTTTCTTTATGCATTTATTCTTTTCTCTTGCATGTTTCAACCGATATGCCATAGAGCCGATGAAAATTTACTATTTTTTATTGATAAGAATCCTCTTTATTTAATGGATATTTCCATTAAAAAATGTAGAATAGATATAATAATATTCCTACATTCGTAGGACTATCCTCAAATAGAGAAGTCCTTTAAATAGATATAATCTCAACTCCTATTTTATCATGCTACAATAATACAATGTTCGCATAGGCTCATTAAACTCTAACAACAACATTTGTCAATTCACATAAGAACTATTGCATTAACAAAATAATGCCCAGCACCAGTACTAATGTAAATACATTTGTAGTAGGAAGCTATGAAAGCATGGATTGGCGATTACCTCAAGTAAGCTCTAACCAGAAAAACATAAATGTAAGCGTTTTAGTAAACCGAAGGTTTACAGAAACTGAATTTTATAACTTCACTTTGTTAAAGGAGACTTACATTACCTACACTTGATCCATGTCAATAGTGATGAAAGTAGTTGCTGAATCTTAAACTTTTTCCTTAATCATTCAAAGGAAAAATATGATATTTCATCTAAATAGTTCTCTCACGAGTTCGAAAGCCATTTGAAGTGATACACCAATTATATATCTATTTATTAATTAAAAAATGACAATTAAGCATAATTAACGATAAAAAGCAGCAGAGAAATCAATTCATGGATCCAAGTAAATCTATGACTTTCGGGACCTCTAATCTTTTGATACTCTGATAATTATACCAGCTGGAGTCTGGTCACTTCTGAGATGACCAGAACCAATCAAATCACGAAGATGAAATCTCATATCAAGTGGGGACATTCGAAGACGCTTCTTTTCCAAAACAGCCAACATCATCTCCTTATATTGACGTCGGCTGAGAAGGGAAATAATTTCCTTCCTTCCCTGAACAACAAAGTTAAAACAAATTCACTATAATAAATATGTTAACTAAAGATCAAAATACACAAATTATAAAATTTACAGGAAAAAACAAAACTGAGCCTTTCTCATTCTGACTAAGAGTACAAATCTGAAAGTGTAATGACTGCCCAAATCATACCCCGACATAAAAGAAATAGCTCAAGCCGCACAAACTATAAGATGGACTATTTGCCCACATGTGTAGTGAAGACACTTTCTAGAAAGTAAGAAAAGCCTATGACTAAACCACTAAAAGCAGTATATATGACTTTGAATTAGCATGACTCGAGTAAAAATCACATTTTATCTTCCATAAAAGATGTCACAAAAACTTGGTTCAAAACGTGATTTGAAATCAAACTTGTTGTGATCAAAAGATTCAAAGATTATTGTCGGTAGGTTTATTGATAAATAATCATCTATTTTAGTTTTAATCGAAAATGTTTATTTTAAGGTAATTTGATTTTGTTGATGTTTTTGTTGTGACAGGTTGTTGGAAGGTTTAATGAGTTCAGATGTGGGGTATACTGTGGCTCTTACTGCGTTTTGGGCAATTGAAGTGGGGTATCAAGAGAGTTTTGTGTGTTGTGTTGAAGAAGGTTCGAATACTCTGATAGAGTTGAAGGAGACTTGTGAAAGATGGGGAAATGAGGGGTTTGGTCAGTACTGTCAATCTCTGCAGAAGATGGTTGATAGGCGGTTGCTGAAAGCTTCTGATGAGGAAGTGAAGAAGGCTGAAGTTGTGTTTTTGAGTATTATTGAACATGAAGTTGAGTTCTGGAACATGAGTAGTGAAAATTAACGTTTGGTCTTGTTAAAGAGAAACCTTTGATGTATGTTATTATGTGTGAAATAATGAAAGCTTGTTCATGTTGTTAAGTGTGAATGTTGTTGATTGTGAACCTTTGTAGCTTAAGCTATTGTATAGAATGAAATGTCTACTTTAATAGAGTAAACTAGAAATATGGAAATGGAATGCACCTTGTTTTATTAATTAAGAAGGAAAGAACACTTCTGAATCTGAAAGAAGTTAAGTTTATTTTAGATAACAAATTCAATAGATTATAATCATTTGCTGCTGATGGGTAATGGGTAATGCTCTTTGAGCATATAAACAAATTCTCAAGTCTTGCTTCTATTCAAGACATCTATTTACAACTCCATGGCCTAAAGTTTAGGCCCCAAGCCCATGTTGTACCAGAACTCACAATAGTGTAATTAGCAAGCTCAGTTTAAGTGTTGAGGGAAGTTGTAAAGGTTATATCTGACAGTAATGAGTTAAAGTATGAAACATAGACTGTCATGGAATGTGAAAAGTTGGAAGAGACTGTCATGGAATGTGGAGAAGAGTTGGAAGAGGTATTGCAATCATAGTCATTTAAGGAACTGCACAGTGTAGTTGTCCATATTGCTTCAGGTGCAGTTAGGAAACCAAAAACGAAAACTGATAGAGAGGGTTTGACAAAGAGGGTGAAGGCTGAAGGAGAGAGGAGGGAGGGATGGGGGTTTGTGGGAGTGGGTTGGAGACTTGCACTCTCTCTCTCTCTCTCTTGTACTATCAACTTACTCTATATTAGAAGGTTAGAAAATATCTTATAATAAACAAATAATATCATTTGATATAGTAATTATGTTAGAGTATTTTATCACCTAGAACCGACTTCTATTCTTAGAGTATTTTAAATCATCTCCTAAGTTAGTTACCAAGTTACTTTGTTGTTATTATGATTTATTTCTTGCTTTCCCTATTTATTTAGGATAGGAAGTCTTGTATCGCTATAAATATGAGTTAGTGTTTAGTCTTTTGTATCAAGTTATAAGATGTTGAACTATATAGCAAGCATCCAGACATAAAGATATGGTAGATGTCAAATATGCATACCTGAACAAGACCCTTAAGAAGTGAGCCAATATTTGGAATTGCTATCCAATACATGCTTGGATCAATAAGTTGCCTAGTCTGAAAATTATGTACCAGAATTATTATGTACTCAATGAAAAGAACGTATATTTATACACATATTGTGGATGAAACAAAAATGAAGGAAAAGATAATCAATATAAAATAAAACTACAGAAGAATCACATAAACTGTGTTAAAGCAATAGGGAAATTTGTGTTAATAAAGATTCCTATCAACATAAGCAGGACACTATAATATGCTTAATCAAAGAGAAAGTTTGTATCGTCTTGTAGGACTTGGAAGCAAGAAATATGATAGAGAGAGGCACCAAGATTCTCAATGCACCTAATAACGATCAATGTTAATGGTGAAAACCAAAAAATAAAGCACTTGAAGGATTTCCAATGGTGTCTAAATAAATCAACAAATTCATGTAGAAAAAAGCCCATGAATGTTGTTATCGTAAAGTGAATGCTATTTATGTTGGTATTGTAAACCAAGTTAGCAAAAAAATGTATATGAAATTTACTTAACCATTTACAGGAAGTGATGTTGAAATATGATCTAATCTAAGAACTCCAGGCAAAGTTGTGACAGTTTTAAAAAAGGGTTTGAATACAACCAAAATGCTGCAATTCATTTCACTTACAAGGACACCTGCATTAATTAGAAGGGAGATGTGACTATCCTTTACTTTTCCCCCAAGTGACAAAAGTGAGCACTGCATTCAAATGAACAACAATCAGCATTAAAACTCATTTAGTAAATATCCTGTGAAACATATGTTTGACAAGCCTACATGATTTAAAATCAAAGTAAGAATTTAACATGGAAAACTGGAAAAAATGTCTTGATATAAGTATTCAATATATATCAGTATATCCATGTAGACATGCCATATTTTCTTATTGTGCGTATGCGTTCTCCCAAAGTCAGACATTTGCAAGATTACAAAGATTTTTGATGAATCGAAGTGTAATGAGCAGAAGTGGAAATGACTAAACAGTATATGCTTAGTTTGCATATCTTACTCACAAGCTCCTGATGTTCAATGCCAGTTTCCAGCTTTGAATCTAGGACATGAGTTTTGAACCACTCAAAAACTTCAAACCCTGCTCCTGTCTTTCCTTCCATTCTTTTAAAAACCCGATCTATCTATGCATAAACAATTAGAAAAAATAAACATGATGGTTCACGAATAAACCTTCAAAACTAAAATCGGTCATACTAATATGACCAAGGAAAGAAAATGAAACAAAATATCCAATATGAAGCCACTTGGGTAGTAGCAGTCAAACTCTCGAACTATAATAAAATGAAATATCCAAAATGAGGGCAGTTGGGTCCCATCGTGAACGCCCTAAGATGGTATCAAAATTATCTAAGATCTATTGGGCTACCTCTTATCAGGTTTCCGCTATCCGGCAACTCGAGTCACACTCTAGATGTTCAGCCTTGGGCATGAGAGGTGTGTGTTAAAGAGTCTCATATTGGATGAGAGACGACCTGATTTTATAAACTGATTTTTATTGAATGTCGAATAGAATGTACTAAATACAGAGTTAGTAAATAGCATTAAACCAACCTGTTTGAGGTAATCATCCAAAAACATTACAGCATGATCATCTTGTCCAGTATTTAACTTAAAAAGGCGAAGCACTTTATCCCTCCGAAGACACTGCAAAAAATAAACAAATATACCTTAATACAAATTACCACATTAACTAATCAATCAAAATTGAAGAGCTTAAATAAGCACAACAACACTAATGTGTAGTAGACTAGTAGTTACAAAAATTCACTAATCAGACCTCTAATTCTCTATCCACTTGTGTTCTGTCCTTCACACTGCTATACAATTGCGACTTCAATATAAACGGTTCAACCGAAACCTAGAAATAAGCATCAATAATCAAAACTAAAGATTATAATCAATTCATTGAAAATACACAGGCAGAGTAAGAAATGAGATAATGAATTGTTACATTGAGAATTTGGGGAAATTGAGCTCGCATGATTCGAAGCGCAATAAGCGTATCAGTGAATGTAAGATCGTTTTCTGCGAATCAATGCAATAGAGATTAATATAAGCTATAAATAAAGAAAAATAGAAGTGTATCATAGGAGAGGATTGTATACCGAGTGATGATGATGAGGTGTTTCCGGCATCGGAACTCTCAGCTCGCCGGCGTTTGGTTCCTTTGGATGAAGATTCTGGAACGTTCTCCATGCGATTCAAAAAAAAAGTGAGAAATGTTGTTTTGGATGAAATTGAAGTGAAATAAGTGACTTGTCTCTCTTCCTTTGTTTGCTTACATGGAAAATGAGAAAAGAGAAACACAAATATTTTTTTAAAGGGTTGAATATATTTTTAATCTTTATAAATATACGATCATTTAATTTTGATATCTCTAAAACTTTCTTTTAAACAATGGTTCCCGCTAAATTTGTCATCTCTATAATTTATCTCTCCTGTTAGTTCCCACTAAGAGAGGCATAAGGATTTGCCAGCGTGAAATAAAATAATATTAAGGGATGAAATCCACTTGCTTGTCATTTATTTCCAAAGTCTTAAACAAATACTTTTAGTCAAATTGTGTTTGTTGTATTGAAGTCGTAGAAGTTGTGTTTCAAACAACGGCCGTGTGGTGGTCTCTGTTGTGTTTTCCCTCATTTCCTTATCTTTGTGTGGTCCCTCGTTTTTTTGTTTCTCTCGTGTATAGTGGTCTCAGGTATTTCACGTTGTTCCTCTTTAATAATGGTAGGATAAGAATTTGATTGTTTGTAATGTTATAAATACATATTTTGTATATTGTTCCTCTTGTAGTTAGTATTTCGTATCTAATTCCATAATAGGTAAAATACTTGTTTGAACTGAATTCGTAAATTTTTACCTTAATTTATGTTTAACTTAAGATGGTAATTTTGAAACCTAATTGCGTTTGAGTTAAATTTGGTAGATTTTAAATCTAAATTGGTAAATTTATATATAGGAAATGAGTACATTCAAGGTGGTTTTCTATACAAATGGTAGTTTTGTAAAAGATCTAGACCTTAGATACGATAGTGGAAATGTATAAGCCTTTAATAGTCAAGACATAGATTATTGGTTCTTCTTTGAAGCTAGTGACTTAGTGAAATCTATTGAACCTGAGTTTGATGTTAATACTGTTAAGATGTGGTGGAAACATAAACAAGGAAGTTTTGAAGATGATTTAAAACCATTTAAGAACGATGGAGATGTTGTTGAGTTAGCAATGTTTTGTTGTTGAACATAAGTGTGATATTGAGATATATTGTAAGCCAAAACCTGAAATAGGAGGTAGTACCTTTATGGATAGGGTTAGAGAGAAAGGGAAGGGCAAAGCATGTGATGGAGATGATGCAAAATTAAGTGAGTCCAGTGGTGATGAATCACTTAGGGATGTGCACTTTGATGATAATGAGAAGGAGAGGAAAAGGGTTTGGATGACGAATTTGATGACATGGTTGATGCAAGTGTTGGTGTTGAACATAGAAATGAATCAGTTCCTTGTGAAAGTACCACGACTGAACCAGTTATGAACATGTTTATCATAGAAGAAATGGAGAAGCAACATATCATTGAAGAGGAATACATGACAGATGAATTGGACAGTGGGGTTGGTGTTGGAAGTAGACCTTGTGTAATCAGATTCAATGAGGAAGATACGTTAAGCAATGATTATGTTTTCAAAGTAGGAATGGAGTTTTGTTCATTGACACAATTTAAAGATGTTATACTTGAGCATAATGTGCTTAATGGAAGGTGTTGTACCCCAAAATTTTCCCTCCCATTTTCTCAACATTTTCTCATCACAAGGCCCTTGGAGCTCAAGATCCAGTTAGGGTTTCCTCTGCTCAAGACTTCTCCTAGCACTGTTGACCCAAATTAGGGTTTGTGTTTGCACAGAGATATTTTGACCTAAAATGCCTAAGATGACTTTCATGCTTCATGTTGGACTCCCAAGTTTATCCATACCAAGTTTCAAGCCTTGATTCCAAACTTTGCCCAGTCAATTGGACAGTTGACCTAGAAATCAGCTGTATTGGGGAAAAAGTCAACTATGGTCAATTGACAGTCAAATCTCATGAAAATTGACACATATCAACATTATGAACTCATATGGACCATTTGATCAAGTTTGGATCACAATTCCATAAGAAATTTGATCAGATCACCAAAAGGGCAAAATGGTCATTTTTAGGGTTTTGACTGCACAAAGGCAATTTTTGACTGTTTGACCTAGCCAATGGCAAACCAAGCTCACATATGGACTCTAGGACCCCATGGAATTGTCTTGACATACTCAACAAGTTCAAAAGATCCCAAATGCACAAGATTGACAGTTGAATTTCCCAGTCAATTGATCAATTTTGACTGTATACTGAAAAGTCAAACTTTGACTTTTTGGTCAAAATCAAGTGTCAAGATTCATTTTTCATCAAAACATGCCAAATCATGAAACTTGTTCATCAAGAAATCAAAAATCACAAATTAGGGTTTGAAATGAAGATTTTTTAAAACTTAGAATTTTTCTAAGTTATGAAAAACCCTAATTTTTTCCTAACTTTGTCCCACTTTCTCACCAAGATTCATTTGGATTCAAGGAAAAGTCAAAACATGAAAGTTGTATTCCATTGAAAAATCTACAACTTTTATTCACAAAGTTTCCTCAAAAGAAGCTTGTAGCTCAAGTTACAATTTTTGGAACAAGGGTACCAAACTATTCTTAAACTTAGAGAAATTTGACCTATTTTAGGCAGGATTTTTGCCTAACTTCAAGACCATTTTTCACATACTTCCACTTGGAATTTCAATTTGCATTTCAAAGATGGATTGTAGTACACATTCCAAGCTTTCCAAAATGTCCAAGAACTCATCAAACAACCTCATGGTTAGGGAGAATCGAATTTGGCAAGTTGGGAAAAACTCACTTTTGATTTGTCCAATTTACATGTTCATACATTTGTGCCATTTTGAATTCAGCTTGCTTTCCTTGATTACAGGTCCTATATCCCATTTGCACTCAATAATTTAATGCTAATTCATTGTGCCAAGGCCTTGTTTTATGTGTTTAAAAATTACATGGAAGATTAAGCCATTTTTAGATAAAGCATTTTTGCCATTTTGGAAAAGTAGAACTTTATGTCAAATGCAAATCCAAGCAAGTACAATGCAAATCCTATTGGCACAAGTTATTAGACTAATTACACTGATCAAGACTAAGTTGTGCATCACATTAGGGGGCATCTATCAGTCTAAAACTCAAGTGGACATTTTCTTGCTTAAGTGTGAAGAAACATAGCATAACAAGACACAACTCCCATTCCTGTAAACCAGAGCTTAAGCAAAGTTATCAAACACTTTCTAATCATCAAACCTGAGCTAGAACACGAGCCAACCATCTCCAACACCCTCTCAAACACAGAATCACCCTCAAACTGCCAAAACAGGGGACCTGCTGCAGATTGAGTTCCATAACTCATTCCATTCGTGCATTCTTGCTAAAAACACTTCAAACACATCTGTGATACGGTGGGAGAACTGACTAGAGTTTTGCGTTTGTTTTCGCAAATGTTTCGGTTGAGCAAGAGTCGCCACCGACTTTTTATTTTATCCTAAGGAAAGGTTTAAAAAGCACAGCAAAAACCTTTGAGATATTTTCTTGGATTCGGGGAGTAGATTATAGAAAGGGAAGGTATTAGCATCCTTTCTATCCATGGTTATCCATGGGCTCTTAGGTACTTGCTTAGATCAACTTGCCTTGGTTTTCAATTGTTTGAAATGGTGCTTTGTGTGTGGTTTTGAAAATGTTTTGAAAAAAGATTCCTTGTCTAGGCTACCCTTGTAACAATTCTTTACTCGAATGTTTTACGAAAGGTGTTTGTCTTTTTTGAAAAGATGTTTCAAGGTTTTTTGAAAGTGTGTTTTGAAAGTGTGATTTGAAAAATAGGCAAGTGTTTTTGTTTTGCAAGTTGACAAGTACTTAAGAGCTATCTACCCTAGAGTTCTCAAAGATTATTGCTATGTTTTAACCCTTTTAACAATTTTGTTCCACCATTGCATTTGGTGGACAATCTTGTGTTAGGATGTGAAAGGGGAGGGCGCGGGTCATCGTTTAGACCATAATTGCAATGGTGCCAAGTATTTTTGGGCAATTTTCCTTTAAGGGACTTGATCATTTCATAGGCAACTTTCGAAAGCGTCATCGAGGGACTTATGATCATTGGTATTGTATTTGTTTTGCCCAAAGAGACCTAACATGCAATATGGCCCATTATTGAAGGAAACAAGTGGAATACCCTAAGGGTGCAAGTGTGATTAGTGTTGTTCATTTTCATGCTTGATTATCTTGAAATTAGGTCAAACTATTTTTGTTGTTTTTGTTTGCATACAAACCCTAATTCTAACATGGCATAGTTAGAAAGCATTAAAGTGCGAAAAATAAAGTTCCTAAGTTATTACAACACAATATAGGAAGGGGGTACAAATGTTCAAATGGGGATTTTGACAAGGAATTTAAACCTAGACTATTACATCAAAATTGAATTATTCACAAGATATTTAATTGCACAAATTAAATGGAAATAAAATAAATATGCAAGATGCAAAAAGGTTTTTTATATGTATGAAAAAAAGGTATTTTTTATGTCAAATAAAAAAAAGTATTATTTTTGGAGTTTTTATGCATTTAGGGGAAAAACCCTAATTTTATTAAGTAAATGTATTAATTATTTAATATGTACAATATTTATTTATTATATACAAAAATAAAATAAAAATGAAGTATATTTGTCAAAAGGGTATTTTTAATGTTAAATATCAATAAAAATAAAATATGTATGTATTTTGCATTTTTACCTAAATATATTAATATATATATATATATATATATATATATATATATATATATATATATATATATATATATATATATATATATATATATATATATATATGTATTTGTATTATTTATTAAATATATTGAATATATACAAAATAATAATATTTAATATTTATAAAAAAAGTATATTTTATATAAAATATTTTCAGAAGATAAAATAAAATAAAAATGGAAAATAAAATGTGTTTGCATTATTTTTAGTATTTTTGAATAAAAGTGTATCTTTTTATTTACTTATGTACAAATAACCACCTAAACAAATAAATGCCTAATAAATTCAAAAATGGTTTAAAAAATTATTTTT